TAAGAACAGTTTAAAAGACAAAAATGGATGCAGAGAGAGTCAGCAAAACAAACCAAAATGAGCTTTGACTCGGGGGTTGTACAGCTGATGTGCCTTACAATCACTTTAACAGAAGCAAATAGCAAAAAGTGTGACTGAAGTGCATATATGTGTAACAGCGTCTGACCCTTTTTGTTCCAGGATTGTTTGAGGGCATGCCAGGAGCAGATAGAGCGTGTGCTGGCCACCAGCCTGCAGCAGGGCCAGCAGTACCGGCAGGAGAACAGCGTCAGGGCAGGAAACAAGGCGAGAGATCAGCAAGACCAGTCCAGCACCCCCACAGATGTACGTGATGTCAACTTATGAACTCCCATCACCATTCGAATTGCACACACCACTCATGCCTGTTTACCAATGAACTAACGGGAGCGAGGGGGCATGAGCTGCCAGTATGAACGCCACATGAGCGATGGTGTGACAATCTATGAACTTTTAGCAAATAAGAAATTTCTAGTTTTTCTCCTTTTTTTTGCCCCGTTCATGCCCAGTTTGGTGTTTTTGTACTGTTTTGAAAAGCGCTTTAAAAAATAAAGGTATTATTATTAATATTAATATTATTATTATTATTACTTCCACCTTTTGTATGGGCCACACGTAATCAAACAGGCTATCTTGAAAACTTGATAGTGCCTAGGTTTCCCCAGAATCGAAACCTGAATATATTTTCATACTTGAACAAAAGAAAAAACAGCATAATTATATGAAATATATTTCTTTTGATACAACCTAGTAAAAATAAATATGATAAATAATGTATATTTAGCTAGCATTTAGTTATGTAACTCTTTTATCATCTTTAGTGAGCAGTTATCGATTCACAGTTTTATTGTGTTTTCCTCACCTGTGCAGGAAAACTATCGTAGTGATTGAAATGCTGATAATACAGTACATGGCATTTAAACCGAGCTGATATCCAGTCAGAGGAGTGCTACTGTAGTTAGCTGCTCCCTGTCTCTATCAATCATACTGTGCACCTGTAGCACTGCTTACTATTTATGCTGAAAAGTGCTGGCCAGGAGTGGGCTGGGCCTGCTCACAGAGGAAGGACATGAGGGGCTTTGAGGTCTGGAGCAGTGGCTACTGTTAACGATTAACGCAGAGGTCTTGATTTCACTGCTCAATCCACAGACTAGTACAGTATGTTAATAGGACGATGTGTACATGTATTATAATTTAGCAAGGCTACATAATAATTGTTCTGTTCTTGGTCTAGCTCCTACGTGTTAGAGAGTGTTTAGTAGATGGTTTGCGGGCGATCATAGCCTCAGATAGGTAGTATGATGTCATGTTACTAGAGGAAAAGGAGATTTGGCAAGTTGTTTTTACCAGGTTTGAGAGGAAATGGACGCAGGTTGAAGTAGAGATGTTCCGATACCATTTTTTCCCCTCCGGATACCAAGTCCAATACCTGAATTTACGCATTAGCCAATACCGAATAGAGATCTGATACCAGATAAAAATTCAGCAGCTGTATACTACTAATCCTGGTGGATATGGATGTGAAATTATTGCTGTCATCGACTACGTTTACTTGCTCAAAATGTTCCAGTTCTTGCCCTTACTTCAAAAAAGACAGTATTCCTACTAGTCTGTTCACATGTCTAATAAAAAATGAATATTCCCATTTACATGCAGCTTTGTGTACTCCGGTTATCGGGCCCTAACCTGTCGATTATCATGCGAAAATATAGGAAAGTGGAAGGACTGGAGCCGTGTACAGCGTATCCATGACAACACACAGATCTGACCGTAAGCAGGCGAGAGGCCGTGAGTTTCTCAACAAATTATCTGGTATCAGATTTATGCATAGACTTATGCTCGCTGATACCTGATGCATCATTTTGGACAGTATCGGAGGTATATCTGATGCCGGTATCGGAACAACTCTAGGTTGGAGGTGTTTGTCGTGAGGTTTTTTTTGAAAACAAATGCATGTGTAAAGTAGGGGGGAAGCTAGAAGTCTGGGTTTGAATGATAGCGAAACAGGAAGTTAACTTAAGCTATGTAACGTTTCTGCAGATAAGTTGTGCTGCAGTTTCTCCTGTTATCAATTTCACCATTAATTTTTTTTTTTTTTGAGAGAAAGAGTGGGCGACTCGGAACAATATTGATGCACTTTTAAAAACACACTCCTTAAGAATGGTAAGGGGATGGTGGTTGAGGAGAGTTCGGTGGGTTTTTAGGGTCTTTTTTTTTTTTTTTTTTTAAGTTATTTGATTTTTTTTTTTTTCTGGGCTGGATTCCCATGGGGTAACGCACATTGTCTTGAAAGCTACGCCCTGACAGGTGAGTAGACGTAGGATAATCGGTGTTATAGTATATTAAGGAAAGCCAAGTCACTTGTAGACTTTTTTTTTTTTGTTTCAGTGCGTTTATGTAACCTTACTTGAATTTTTAATTCATAGCCAAAACCTTCCAATAGTTCTTTCAAAAAGTGACACACGTACTGTGTCCTAAATATGCTTCATGTTTTTGCTCTTTTTATGTAGACTGCTCTCTGAACTGAAGTTTTCTCCATTATAGACATGGGTAGGTAGGAGTGAAAGTTTTGACTGTATATAACCAATTTCCCAACGAGCAGAAATGCTGCAAAGTCATTACATTTTTAGAAGAGAAATGTAATCGTATTCATGCATGTTCTGTTGTGCAAAAAGCCAAATGTTCTCTGAAAAAAAAAGTGCTTTAAACAGATAAAATGTGTATGCTTTAAAAGGTTTTGTGTATAATTTGAAAGATAATTCCAAGGTGAGAAAACTAGATTATACATGTCATTCTCTTGCTGCTATGAAGCTTTTTCTTTTCTAGTCTTACACAAAGATGCCTTATTGTGATTCACTTGTGTGCTGCTATATTATGAAATTGTGTATATGTAACAAGTCTTTGCTTTTTCTGTTGTATGTGTACTGGAGGGAACGTAACACAGTTTTGGTGCGGGACTGGAAGTACTTTGTTTTTTGCCGATCTTTTTTTGATTAGCATGTTTTATTCTTTTTATTGTTCCATTTGTATCTTTATATTCTACCATATTCTTGCTGCTTCTGTGTAATGTTTGTGTACCTCAGGTTAATTTGGACGAATAGAGCGAGAGCCCATCTCGCATTACCTCATCAAACATCACATCACACACACGTCGTTTTCACTCTGAATTTGTTGGACGGGTTTCACGTTTTGTTTTTTTTTTTTTTGTTTTTGGTTTTTTTTTTCTGTCTGGATGAGAGGAAAGACGGTGCTTCTCCTCTTTAAATCAAGAAATGTCTGCCACCAGATTCCACTGAGCAGTTATAAGTGCCTATACTTTAAAATAGGTTATTCGTGTATCTAAATAAAAAAACTGCCTATACTGTTTGTTATACATGTATTTGGAAAGACAAAAAAAAAACATTTTTTCCTTGGAATTTCATTGGAACAAAGTGGACTATTGTTTATTTTTGAGGTACCCATTTAGTTGAAGTTTAAACCACGAGAATGTTTTATCATTGTTCAGTGTGGTTGTTTTTCCAGACTCCTCTCCCACTATCCCCATGTGCAACCACACAGTGTACCTCAACAATTTCTCCTCAATAAATTGGCTAAAATCATGTGACTGGTTTATTTGTCTTCCTCTGTAGAGACTGAGACCTGACCATCTGCAGGAATGAGAAGTGAATTGTGCCTTTTGTCAGAATTTACCTTCCTGTCGCCACTAGAGGACGACTAAACCACTGAAACGTGGACAAGAGGGTGAAAGAGCAAGTGGTGCTGCCCTTAAAATTATATATAAATCAGTGCACAAGGCTGCATCTGTAAAACAAGCTACTTTTTTTATTTAGTATTAGTGTTTAACATATAAATTATTATTATTTAAGTAGGATGGATGTGATGTATAAAAAGAAATGCATTCTAAGTAACAGGTAGCACTGTAATAGCGTAGATTAATAAATGAATAATATAGAAATCAGTGTTATAAATAATATTAAAATTTGATACATGTAAAAATACTTGCAATTTTGGCGGAAATAGAGATGAGAGTTGTTTTTTGTTTTCAGTTGAACAAATATTGTCTATAATCATATTTAACTTTTTAAGACTGGAAGTACAGTGGTTGATTTTACTTTTTTTTTTTTAACTTGAATTTGTTCAAGCTTTAGAGACTGTTAAATATAAAGGGTACTGTTAATAGTTAAATGTTGTTAATCTTATTTAAAATTAATTGTTAAAATTAAATGTTTGCTAATTCATCTAAAACTAGCACAGTAATCAATATGGGTCTGCAATTTTTTTATTTCTCCATGTAAACATACATTTATATAATGCCTACAGGTGCTTTAGATCACAGAATATTATTGTTATTATTTTAAATATTATTAATTTTAATGATGAGTCATTTGTTTTTTGAAAAGTAAAAAATGCTAAAAGAGAACTTTTCATTTAGACATTCTTGACAAAATATCAGACAATAAATGCAATCAACAGCGTATAAATTAAATATTAATCACTTAATAAATCAATCATATTATTTTCCACATCACACAAATACAAAATCAATAAATTATTCACTTTATTTGTCCAAATAATACAAATACAAAACAGAAATAAACAAAAGATCCCAAATTAAAGAACTTAAAAGTTAATATATATATATATATATATATATATATATATATATGAAAAGTAATATATTAACATAAGGTTCATATGCAGTGATAATAATAATAAAGGTGAAACAAAGTAAAAATGAAAATACATAAACATACATTTTTTAAAAATGAAAATATATAAAATAGAATTAAAAGAATATTTTTTTCTGTACAAAATTTACAAAATAAAGAAATATTAACGACTAAAACGTTTCGTTTTATATTAATAAATTTACAACCGTAATATTAACACTTACAACCTCAAAGTATGAATATTATTATATTACAATTAAATAGTCTTTACGCAGCCCTGCAATGCGATATGATTTACGTCATGACGCATGAGGCAACGTCACATGATTGCGGCTGAACCAACCGGAAGCAGCCGCATGAGAGCAGCCGGTGAAAATGTTTACGTTCAGTTTAACTCTCGTACGACAGTAAGTGATTATTTCCAGCTTTAATTTTCCTCTCCTGTCCTCAGAGGACTTAAACATGAATTGATAATGTAAATATATTCTACAGAGACAGTGTGTCGCGTCAGTTTGGTGATGAAGCATGGCGGCTGAATGTGTGCGGTTAGAGTTCACAGAAACAGGAGCAAAGTAACTGAGCTACTATGAGTGTGTTTATTGTGTTACAGTCTTCATAACTAGCTTTGTGTTTGAAGGGAGGTATATTAGTTTTAATGTCACCGATGAAACGCACAGACGTGTTTAAGATAATTGAATGACATTGCTGTATTTTCTCACAGTGGGGAAACTCAGTACAACAGGGACAAGCTGCTGCAAGGTACGTTCTGACTCAGTACAGTCTGACTCACTCATATACAGATACAGTCAAACGTGGGTGTTTGCTCTAGACTTACATGTCTTACATGTTACAGGAGGGAGCATGAATATGTTTCCAGGGTCCTCAATATCAATATCATCTTAATATGACTCATTTGGGAGACCTGTCAATTAGTTTTTATGTGCTCAGCAATGTTTTTTCAATGGGTCAGATGCTCAGTGTATGTTTCCCTGGGTCAGCATGTTGTAATCATCCACCTACAGTTTATAGCCTACTGTTCATATAAGTAACTCCTTGAGACTTACGCCCTTTAAAGTTGTGAGCAGGACAGTTTTCTTGACTTTAGACATTGATATCTCCACAGTGGTTGAGGAGATTTTTACCAAAGTTCTAGGGACGCACCGATCCGATATCTGGATCGAATCTTGGCACCGATATCATCAAAATAGATGGATCGGGTATCTGAAAATGCAATCTATACCTGAGGCAATCCTTTCCTTTTAAATCTATTGCAATGCGAGCTACGTCATACGTCATGGAGCGAAGGAGAGAATCTGCTGTGTGGAGGTATTTCACACTCAACACTCCCAACTAGCCCGACGGCAGTTTGTAATGTCTGCAAAGTGAATGTTGCTAGGGATGGTGGTAGTACCGCCAAGTATAATACTACCAGTTAATTACAGTATCTACAAAAACATCACCAAATGGAGCACCAAGAGTTCCAGCAGTTGAGTAAGTCGAAAACGAGCAGGAGGTAATACTACACAGCAGTTAACGAAAAAGAAAAAGAGAGAAATTCCCAAGCAATAGCGCAAAAGAAAGAACATTTCTGAGAAAGTGCTGGAGTACATTGTTTTGGATGGACAACCAATGACAGTTATTGAAAACATGGGCTTCCAACGTTTACTGGATCACCTGGAGCCACGGTACAATTTGCCGTTGCGCTAATATTTTTCCAAGACTGCACTGTCGGAAATGTACAAGGGTGAGCAAACACTTGTCTCAAGAGTTACAAGATGTAGATGTAGATTAATCTGTTTCATCTTGTTTCATTTTACCTTAGGAACAAACTGTGTAGTCATCAATGCCTGATGCCTCTAGTCTTTTCTGTTCTACATGTAAAGGTATATAGCTTTTTAGGTCAACCATGGTATCGGATCGGTATCAGGTATCAGCTGATACTCAAAGCCACAGCATCGGGGTTGGTATCGAAACTGAAAAAGCTGCATCGGTGCGTCTCTACATAGTTCGCAGTCCTAACTAATGATTTTAATGTAACAGTAATAACTTGTATAGCATTTATCTAAACAAGGTTACAAAGTGCTTGAAAAATAACATGAAAATAAGACGTCAATAAGATTACAATGATTTTTAAAAAAAAATGTAAGAGCTAGAAAAAATGATAAACTATATAGCACCTTTCATAGAAGAAATGCAGCGCAAAGTCCTTTACAATAACGGCATTATAAGCACCGAGTGCTTCACATGAAAGTAGACATAATGGATATAAAACAGACAAGGCAATTTAATATAAAAGGGCATTTAAAAACAGTTTAAAACATCCAGGTGTGCCGTGGGATTTCTTTATAACCACACATTATTATTGCAATGTTCAACTGAGCCTATGCAAAAAGTTATGAATGAATTTTTAATTGACTGTATCAGTATGTTGTGTGCACCCATTTCCCAACACAGAGGAAACTCTAGCTAGAACATGTAATTTAATTTAATTCAATTTAAAAAAAAAACCTTCACTGGGAACCTATTTGTCACTGTTCACACGTGGAAATTATAAGTGTGTGACACATCAAAAGCCCTGATTGGCAGCCAGTGTGAGGGGTGAGAAAGCCGTGAGTGGGACGATGGATCACTTTATCGTACGGAGCAAATTACAACAAAGCACCAGTGACGACGACCTACCACCGAAAGAAAAGAGAAAAAAATGTCAGACAGTATCATAAAAGCTACCTGTTGTATTTTTATTGTCGTATGTCGTGATAAGAGTGATAGCACGGGTTATAGAGAAGGCTGTGAACAGATAAAAATACAGAGTATTACTGGCAAACCGACAACTCTGTGTTTTTTTAGGTCAAGGTGTGGACACGCCCTTGTCAGAAACAGGTTTGCAGCAGGGTGAGGCGGTGGGACAATACCTCAAAGACATCAAATTCAACAATGTGTATGTCAGTAATCTACAACGAGCCATACAGGTAAGACACACCTACCAACCTGGTGTCACACACAGATCAGCTGACAGAAGAATCACTGTCTTTCTGTCATCTGCATAGTGATTAAATGTCAGATCATGCAGACTTGTTGTTTTATCTGTGTAGTGCTGTTCGCACATGAAAAGATAAGTTTGGTGATATTCTATATTTTCGTTATTGTGAACAATTCCATGAAAAGACCCAACAACAATCATACTAACAAGTATTGTCTCTAAAGCCAAAGCCTGATATAACTTATTCCTCTGCGACACTATTGTTGTCCAGAAACTGATTTTTAAAAAACACATCAATCAGCAACCCCTTTGCACTGGGTGACACGTCCCTTCATTGTGATGAACACGGGCACTGTCATTCATTTTGAGACAGTCCTACGTACATACACCCTCTGGCTGGAAATTTTCACTAGATTCTCAAATGTGTATTAATTCGCAGGTGAATATAGTCCCCGACAAATGCACTGCTTACACGTGTTTACACACTGTTTTATTATTTATCCTTTTGTAAAAGTGACACTCATATTAAAGGAACAGTGTTTAAGATTTAGGGGAATTTAGTGGTATCTAGTGGTAAGGATGTAGATTGCAGCTGAAACTTCTGGTTAGAATTCCTTCAGTGTTCATTGTTCAGGAGGTTTTTGCTGGGAGCTGAATTATCCACAGAGGCCTCTTCCTCTCCAAAACAAACAGACCTGGTGATTTCAAACCGGTAAAAACACAGAATAAATTAGTTTCATGCAAAAAAAAAAAAAAAAATCAGTGTTTTTCTGACACAGCGTGTCACGGCGGGGTTGCCAACGAAGGTGGTCGACACAAGAATGTGAATAGCCCCATCTAGAGTCAGTGTTCAGTTTGTCTGTACTGTAGAAACATGGTGGTGCAACATGGTGGACTCCGTGGACGAGGACCACTTCCTCTGTAGACATAAAGGGCTCATTCTGAGGTAACGAAAACACAGTTCTTATTTTCATGTGATTATACACCAAAGAAAACTCCCTCGAAAACATGATAGCACATCTCAGGGGGCTTTATCCTAATAAACAAATTTGAATAATTAATATTCTTCCAATACATACCTAGACTCACAAGTCAGTCTTTAGACGCTTTGCTTAACTAAAGACTGATTTCTTTCTCCCTGATTTTGTGTTTAGATGAGCGGATACAATTTCAGAATTTAAAAAACTCCCTACCTTGCAGAACCAATAGTAAATCCGCAGGGCAGTCCTTCAGTGGCTCGCTGAATTCTTGTGCTTGTAAACACAGTTAAAAGTTTTAAACAAAGTCGCTGTAAGTCCTTCATTTCCACAATCTCGTGGACTGAGCACACGCTTGATGAAACGAAGTTAAATCTCTCGGCATCCATTTTCAAGCTCTCTGTGTGTTTGTGTCCTTGTGGACGAGAAAAGGGGGAGCGCACATTTCCGGGAGGGCGTTTCCTTTTCAAAAATGCAAAAGGCGTTACTTTGTTGCCGGCCGTTTTCTCCAGTGTGTTGAACACACTTTAGAAAGGGGTATCCCCAGACTATTAGAATGTTGAGATCTCTGATTGTCTGGTGGCGAGACGAATACATCCCTATCAGTCTTTCACACTGAACCTTAAAATATGTGAATAATTTCTAAAGAGTTACATCTTCAGTATGAATGAATCAGGCCACAGAAAGAGTAGGACAGTCTGAAACTATTGAGAGACAGACTTTGGTTTTGCCTTTTCATAGGCAGCAGTGTGTCCTTTAAAACCTTTGAGTTTTTTTTGGTCTAACCTTTAATAGAATAATTTATCAGCATATGACTCCCTAGAGATCCTACGTTGACCCCCTATTGTAGTGATATTTAACATTTTGTCCATGGAACTTTTCAAGTTTGATGAAATTTCCTGTGAATAATTTTACCAATACAAACATTGTGCAACAGCCTTACATCAGTGACCTTTGAAATAAGTGATTCCAGACCAAACCTCACACATTTTTCCTTTAGTTAAGTGTCAACATTTTAACAAACTCCTACGTGATTGTCTGCCTCCACATGTCATTATGCATATAAAACAGAACAGGCCCTAAAAGCATCTTACGGCTACAATGGTCTGAGCTCATGACACTGAAAATGGGACTTGGGCCATCTTAGTTTAAAGGTCCCGTGTGTAGGATTTCGGAGGACATATTGGCAGAAATGGATTACAAAATAACGACAATGTATTCTTTAGTGTATAATCACCTGAAAATAATAAGTGTTGTGTTTTCTTTAACTTGATCCGTTTATGTCTACATAGGGAGCAGGTCCTCATCTGAGGAGTCGGCCATGTTGCACCACTATGTTTCTACAGAAGCCCAGAGCAGACAAACCAAACACTGGCTGTAGATATTGAACCCCAAACTGTTTCCGATGGCTGTTCCATGGGTGTGTTAGTGTGTTTGAAAACTGAGTAGGAGGTGTATGGAAGCCTTGTATGAATGTGTGTGTGAATGGTGAATGTGACTCGTAGTGTAAAAAGCGCTTTGAGTTGTCAGATGACTAGAAAGGTGCTATACAAATGCAGGTCCATACTAGGGGTGGGCAATATGGCCCTAAAATAATATCATGATATAAAACATCACTGACTCCTGTGTGCACAGACAACCCCAAAGCATCAGGCAACATTATTTAAAAATCTTAATTTAGGTTGGCAGAAATGATTCAGTTTAAATTTGGGCCTCCTGCATCGTCTGCCCAAGGGTGAAGCTCATACTCAGCATGGAGAATATGGGAAGAGTCGGACAGTATTCTCTGTGCTTGTCTCAGAGAGGAAAAGACCTCTGCGGATAATTCAGCTCCCGCTAAAAGCCTCCTGAACCTCTGGATCCTAAGTTATTGGAGGAAAAAGGTGAGAACACATTGGCAGGTGCTAGTCTAACGGCCCGCCTCCAACATACCAAACATTCAAGGAGAAACAGTGATTTGTAATTTATTTAGTGTTTGTGCCGGTTTTCATCACCTGGTCCATTTGTTTTGGAGATGAGGAGACCTCCGTGGATAATACGGCTCCCGATAAAAACCTCCTGATCAATGAACACTGAAGCAATTCTAACCAGGAGAAGTTTCAGCTTGTTGCAATCTGCAGTCTTCACCACTAGATGGCGCTAAATCTCCCTTAATCTTACACATTGCTACTGCTTTTGGTATATCGGTGGTAAATCGCGCTGAGCAAGGGATAACTGACAAATAAAACCACTGTTTACATTAACCTGCATTAAACTAATGGGCAGTGTTCATTACCAAGATGCAAAAGAAGCTCTGTGATTAAACATGAGCAGAAAATGTCCCAACAGTTTCACAGCTGGAGCTCCAGACCTTTTTTCTGTCCGCAGAGTATCTGCAGCTTGTTTATTTCCTATCAGGAACAAATGATTCTGTTAAGCCAGTAAAGTGTCACTATTGTTTTCTCAAGGTTGTGAAAAAGGGGAAAAACAGGATGCATGTAAAAGACTTCCAGATATAAAATAGTTGTGTGCACATTCATGTCTCTGTGGTCTTTGACTCACTGATGCTGACAGTGTATTAATGACTTTTTAGTTTGCCTATGACAGACACTTTTGGCACTCACAAATTATTTGAGTCAGTAATTCCCAGATTACATTTCCTCCTTCAGACAGCTGAAATAATTCTGAGAAACAACACTCACTGTTCTGGCACGGAGATGGTCCTGGAGCCATTACTCAGAGAGAGGGTAAGTTGTCTTTGTACTACCTCCAAATATTAAAGCTTTAAATGTAGCACTACATCAGCTACTGTTCTGATTTATAGGCTGTGGTGTGTGGTTGTGTTAATGCAGGGTTTTGGTGTTGCTGAAGGACGTCCCAAAGAGGATCTGAAGAACATGGCCAACGCTGCTGGGCAGTCATGTCATGACTACACTCCTCCAGGAGGCGAGACTTTAGACCAGGTGAGTCAGATACAGTCAGGATTCATCATTTGGACACTCACTGTACAGTACTGTACTGTTAAAATGTTAAACAGCCACTTTTACCAGCTGGCACTAAATTGCATTTTGGGGGATTTGATTGCAGTCAGATAGTGCTTGACCACATCAAAATGCACCCAACACCCCTTAAAGGTTGGACTTTGGGCTGGGTGATATAATGGCTATGTACAATATATTTTCAAGCAAGATATAGATTTAGACAACACCATTTGTATTGATATAGGGTCATATCATCATGAGGTGGATCATAGTGCATCACCATTCTTCTTGGTAGTTGTAGTCTGACAGAACTGTTGAAAGAATGCAGCGAGAACACAGACGTTTCATATACAAGACGTATATAATGTGGACACAGTGTCTCTTGTTCCTTCCCTCCCTCGGCCTCTCTGTTGATGCTATGTGCATAAATAAGATTAAAATCCCAAATAAATAAAAAGATTTAAATCATTTCCCGGCACTACATTTAAAGGCCATGGACAATGACTTTTTAACTCCCCCTACAAAGAGTTGTAATTGTTTCAAACCTACTTGATACTTTTATACTCATGTTATAGTTTTGTGTCCTGTGCTGCAAACCTTTAAATCTCTGTAGCTCCAGTGCTTGGTGCTCACATACTGCCAAAAATGTCTTGTGACATGTCAAATGTGGCTTTGACTATATATTGTGTATCGCCAGACAGCGTGTAATCTAGATACAATCTGGATACAAGACACATTTTCATACCAGGAGTAAAGGGAGGTCTGTGAAACTTAAGGTTAGGAGATGATTGTTTGTGCAACAGCGCCATGTTGTGCCCATTTTAAATATTGCATGGACAGATAATAGCTGCAAAAGACAGTGCAGTTTGGTAGTTAATGTGGAAGATCCCAAGCTACTCTACTTGATTCTTCCATGGTTATATGCTTGTGACAATGCTTGTTTTTTTTTTTTTTTGTAAAGCCACAGTTGGTAACTTTAATGAGAATAACTTTTGTCATGTTTGCTGAAACTGTCACTTTGTTCTGAAGGAAGTACTTGAGACAGATAATCTGTGAAAAACAAATCATGCCTCCTCCTCTTCCTATTGCCTCTAATGGTATCTGCCAGAATCTACCGCAGCGTACCAAAAGCGACCAAGAAGTCACTAAAGCAGCTGTCAATCATGTTGATCACTGCTTGTTAACTGTGTCAAACTAGGCAGCGCTGATCAAACACGAATCAAGATTCTGTAACTGCATTGCCCATTTCTCACCTCAGATGTTTTCAGAAACACAAGTAAGTGACTGTTTCGCTGCAAAATGAGAGAATTTGCTCTTAGTAGTGCAAAATGCACAGCAGAATTTTCCAAAACTATCACAGGGCTGACACAGAGAGACAGGCCACCATTCACACCTACGGGCAATTTAGAGTCACCAGTTAACTTGCATGTCTTTGGACTGTGGGAGGAAGCTGGAGTACCTGGAGAAAACCCTCGCTGTCATGGGGAGCACCACCATGCTGCCCTATGTCTATAGATCAACTTACTGATGAATCAATTTCTCATTTCAGCTCTCTTTTTTATATAGTTTGTACAATGGCAAAATAATTTAAAGAAACTTGTATCTGACAGACAGCACGAGACTCTGACAGTGTTTACTTTGTCAGATGATTCACACTCTCAAACCTGCTCTGGTTCCCTGTCACCTTTTTTTCCAGGTGAAGCTGCGATTCAAAAAATTCCTCAAAGTCCTTTTCAAGCAAATGTTGGATGAACATGGGCAGTCAGGACCACACGCCTCCGCAGGAGCATCAGGAGCTGGAGACACTGCGAACGGACCCGCAGCTGCTGCCTCAGTCATTGCTTCTGTCGGCTCGGCTGATGACGGTCTCCAGGGAGTGTCGGTCCATGCTCTGGTCGTGAGCCACGGCGCTTACATACGTGTAGCCGTCAAGCACCTCGTAGAGGATTTAAAAAGCTCTCTGCCTGCAGGGGTGAAGATGTCCCAGCTGTTCTCACCGTGTCCTAACACAGGCATCAGTCGCTTCGTTTTCACCCTGAGCCAGTCCGAGTCCAGCCCGGTCCTCTCTGCCGCTCGCTGCTTCTTTACCAACAGGAAGGATCACCTGGAAAACCTCACAGCTGCTGAATAGTGTGAAAGGGAAGACAGAAGTTTTATGTAATGGTACTGTTTGTGTGCACATGTACTGTATACATTCTCTGACGGGAACAATCACGAACACTAAAGGGAAAGTAAGAGGCAAAGACCTCAGAGTTACTACAGGGTAACTGAATAAAGCAATGCACATGGTCTTTTAAATAATCACATGGTTTTACTGAGGATCCATAGTCAAAATAAGTGTGCAGTGCTGTATTATCAGTGTTTTATCATCCTTCAACTGTAGGGCAGTGAGGACTTGTGTCATACTACATATATTTTATTATTGTTAACATTATTGCCTCTTCGATCATGTTATACCAAAGTCAGAACTATTTAATGTATTGTTGGGCACTTAATATGTGTGGCATTTTTAAGTTGATGTCTCCTTTGTTGCTGCTCATTTTACTTGTGCAATACATCATGAAAACACTGAATTTATGTTATGTTTTATACATACCTATAGATAAAAGAGATGAATACAGGGTTCATATATGACAAAATGCTGTGGAAGTATATAAATGCAGTGTGGTCTATTTATTAAATCCTGTAATGTGTGATCTATAAACTGACTTTCCATTCAACATAAATGCATTTTTTATGATTCTGAAATACTGGAAGGAGAGCTGTCTCCAGATCGCTGTGTTTCATGGTAATGATCAGTGGTGGATGGAGTATTCACATCTTTTACTCAAATAATTGTAGTAATTCTGCAGTTCAACAATAATCTTATACAAATATGAGTCCTGCAGTCTCCATCTTACTCAATTAAAGTACAAAAGTGTTCAGTAGCATGAGTATATGCTTTAAGTACCCACTACCCAGTGTGAAAGTACTGAAGATACAGAGTGCACCAGTTCATGATCATGCTATACTATGACAATTTTTTTCGACGTATGATGATATGTTCTTTTTATTAGTTTTTTCAACATACTGTCCTTTGACTTTCTTCGGCATACTATACTATGCCGTTTTTATCAGTTATTTGACATACTATGCTATGTTGTTTTTATCAGTTTTTTCAACATACTGTCCTTTGACTTTTTTCAACATACTATGCTATGCCGTTTTTATCAGTTATTTGACATGCTATGCTATGTCGTTTTTATCACTTTTCAACATACTGTCCTTTGATTTTTTTCGACATACTATACTATGCCGTTTTTATCAGTTTTTTCCAACATACTGTCCTTTGACTTTTTTTCGACATACTATACTATGTCGTTTTTATAGTTTTTTTTCGACATACTATACTATCAGTTTTTTTGACATACTATACTATGTCGTTTTTATCAGTTTTTTCGACATACTATACTATGCCGTTTTTATCAGTTTTTTCCAACATACTGTCCTTTGACTTTTTTCGACATACTATACTATGTCATTTTTATCAGTTTTTCAACATACTATGCTATGTCGTTTTTATCAGTTTTCAACATACTGTCCTTTGACTTTTTTTCTGCATACTATGCTGTGTCGTTTTTATCAGTTTTCAACATACTGTCCTTTGACTTTTTCTGCATACTATGCTATGTCTTTTTTATCAGTTTTTTCGACATACTGTCCTTTGACTTTTTTCGACATATTATACTATGCCATTTTTTATCAGTTTTTCGATATACTATACTATGTCGTTTTTATCAGTTTTCAACATACTGTCCTTTGACTTTTTTCAGCATACTAAACTATGTCGTTTTTATCAGTTATTTGACATACTATGCTATGTTGTTTTTATCAGTTTTTTTCAACATACTGTCCTTTGACTTTTTTTGCATACTATGTTGTTTTTATCAGTTTTTTCAACATACTGTCCTTTGACTTTTTTCGGCATACTATGCTATGCCGTTTTTATCAGTTTTTTGACATACTATACTATGTTGTTTTTATCAGTTTTTTCAACATTCTGTCCTTTGACTTTTTTCGACATACTATACTATGTCGTTTTTATCAGTTTTTTCAACGTACTATACTATGATGTTTTTATCAGTTTTTTTTGACAAACCATAGTATGACTTTTTAAGACGTTTTTCGACATACTATACTATGATGTTTTTTTCAGTTTTTTCAACATACTACACTATGATGTTTTTATCACTTTCTTTGACATACTATACTATAAAGTTTTTTCAGTTTTTTCAACATACTATACTATAAAGTTTTTTCAGTTTTTTCAACATACTATACTATGACTTTTTTCGACATACTATACTATGATGTTTTTTCAGTTTTTTCAACATATTATACTATGACTTTTTTCGACATACTATACTATGATGTTTTTTCAGTTTTTTCAACATATTATACTATGACTTTTTTCAACATACTATGTTATGTCATTTTTATCAGTTTTTTCACAATACTCTACTATGACGTTTTTAGCAGTTTTTCCAACATACTTCACTATGATGTTTTCATCAGTTTTTTTTCGACAAACCATAGTATGACTTTTTAAGACGCTTTTTGACATACTATACTATGATGTTTTTTCAGTTTTTTCAACATACTATACTATGACTTTTTTGACATACTATACTATGACGTTTTTATCACTTTCTTCGACATACTATACTATGATGTTTTTTCCAGTTTTTTTCAACATACTATACTATGATGGTTTTTTCAACATACTATACTACGACGTTTTTATCACTTTCTTCGACATACTATACTATGAAGGTTTTTCAGTTTTTTCGACACATTATACTCTGATTTTTTTCGACATGTTATCCTATGACTTTTTTCAACATACTATACTATGACGTTTTTTCAGCTTTTTCGACATGCTCTACTATGACGTTTTAATCAGTTTTTTCTTGGACAAACTCTCCTATGACTTTTTTAGACTTTTTTCCACATACTATACTATGATGTTTTTATCTGTTTTTTTCAACATATTATACTATGACTTTTTTCAACATACTATGTTATGTCATTTTTCGACATACTATACCATGATGTTTTTATCATTTTTTTCAGAATACTCTACTATGACGTTTTTATCAGTTTTTCCAACATACTTTACTATGACGTTTTTATCATTTTTTTTGACAAACCATAGTATGACTTTTTAAGACGTTTTTCGACATACTATACTATGTCGTTTTTATCACTTTTTTCAACATACTATACTATGATGTTTTTTCAGTTTTTTCAACATACTATACTGTGACTTTTTTCGACATACTATACTTTGAAGATTTTATCAGTTTCTTCGACATACTATACTATGATGTTTTTTCAGTTTATTCAACATACTACACTACGACGTTTTTATCACTTTCTTCGACATACTATACTATAAAGTTTTTTTATTTTTTTCAACATATTATACTATGACTTTTTTCGACATACTATACTATGATGTTTTTTCAGTTTTTTCAACATACTATACTATGACTTTTTTCGACATGCTATACTTTGAAGATTTTATCACTTTCTTCGACATACTATACTATGTTTTTTTCAGTTTTTTCAACATACTATACTATGACATTTTTATCGCTTTCTTCGACATACTATACTATGAAGTTTTTTCAACATATTATACTATGACTTTTTTCGACGTACTATACTATGTCATTTTTATCAGTTTTTTCAGAATACTTTACTATGACGTTTTTATCAGTTTTTTCTTCGACAAACTATACTATCATTTTTTAAGACTTTTTTCGACATACTATACTATGGTGTTTTTTTCAGTTTTTTCAACATACTATACTGTGACTTTTTTCGACATACTCTACTATGACGTTTTTATCAGTTTTTACGATAAACTATACTATGACGTTTTTATCAATGTTTTTGTACATTCTATACTATGACTTTTTAAGAATTTTTTTTTACATACTATGCTGATGTTTTTATCAGTTTTTTCGACATACTATACTATGATGTTTTTATCAGTTTTTTTGACATTCTATAATATGACTTTTCAACTTTTTTTTTTACCTACTATGCTGACGTTTTTATCAGTTTTTTCAACAAACTCGACATACCAAACTATGACTTTTTTCAACATACTATACTATGTTGTTTTCATCAGTTCTTTCAAAATACTCTACCATGACGTTTTTATCAGTTTTTTCAACAAACTATACTATGAAGTTTTTAGCAGTTTTTTTCAACATACTATACTATAATGTTTTTGTCATTTTTTTCGACATACTATACTATAATGTTTTTGTCATTTTTTTCGACATACTATACTATGACTTTGTTCGACATACTATACTATGTTGTGTTTTTTTGACATACTATACTATGTCGTGTTTTTTGGACATACTATACTATGAAGTTTTTTTTTCAGTTTTTTTGACATACTATGAATTTTTTTTTAAAAGTTTTTTCGACATACTATACTATGATGTTTGTATCAGTTTCTTCGACTTACTATACTATGACTTTTTTTTTTTTTTGATTTTTTTTGACACACTATACTATGTGGGGCGTTTTTTTTTCCAGTTTTTTCCACAAACTTTGCTGTGCCTTTTTTCGACATACTATACTATATCGTTTTTTCAAAATACTATACTATGACGTTTTTATCTGTTTTTTCAACATATTATACTATACTATGACTTTGTTCTACATACTACACTATGTGGTTTTCATCAGTTTTTTGACATGCTATACTATGACATTTTTATCTTTTTTTTTTACATACTATACTATGACGTTTTTATCAGTTTTTTCGACATGCCATATTATGACTTCTTTCGACATACTATACTATGACGTTTTTTGTAGTTTTTTCACCATACTATATTATGATGGGGGGGGTTTGGCATACTATATTATGACTTTTTTTGACATACTGCACTATCAAGTTTTTTTTTTTTTTTTTCGACATAGTATACTATGAAGTTTTTAGCAGTTTCTTTTCAACATACTATACTCAGACTTTTTTTTGACATATTATACTTTGATGTTTTTAACAGCTTTTTCAAAAATACTGACTATACTATTACTTTTTTCGACAAACTATATACTATGACGTCTTTATACATTTTTATAAGATACTATAGTATGACATTTTTATGATTTTTCTTTACACATGATACAAATACTTTTTTCGTGATTTTTTTTTAATGCTATGCTGTGACTTCTTTTTTTATATTTTTATGATATACTATACTTTGACATTTTTACGAAATACTTTCCTATGACTTTTTGTATGACATTCCTATGCTATGATTGTGGTCATGATAGTATTTTGACATACTATACTATGACTTTTTTTAAATGATTTTTTATGACGTCTTAACTTCATATGACGTTTTGATCATATACTATGCTATGACATTTTTAAGGCATACAATGAAGTGCTATTAATAATTACCTTGATACCTCGCAAGGAAGGCTTACTGAAGGCGTCAGTCAAGGCGTCATTGCAAAGGCTAAATTTAAATCAGCTGGTTTGCTGTTTTAGCCTTCAAACATATTTGTGCTTAAAATGGACATACTGTGTCCATTTCTTCCACCATTTTTGAAATTGTTGGGAGGAATTGAAGACAGAACCTTTTCAATGACACACTTCCACTCTCTAAAGACTGTTCCTTTCTGTTTTCTCTGAATGCTAGGAAGGAGTCTCGCCTAGCCTCTGTGGGAACTGACTTGGACAAACCCATCCTACCAAGGAAGCATCCTTTACTTTTAGACGCACCCAGTTTTTTGGCTAAGAGTTGAAGCTTCCTGAAATATCTGCTGTTTGTCTGAAAACTGCAACAACGGAAACGTATTTCCCAAGATGTTGAACTAACAGGTCAAAGGTTAATGGATGACCATTTTAACAGTTAGCTAAAGTACAACAGGAACTGAGTGTATTTTTAGAGTGAAGTGACTCAGCTGCAGCTCATGTACCTGTTTGCTAATTAAGCAGAAGAGGTGTGATGGTGCAGGAAATTCAGCTGTAATGAGTGGAACTGCTCAGTAACTGGGTCAATGTTAAACCTCCTTACTCATTCATGACTTCCTCTTAGACGGCATGTTTGTACCAAATTAGCACACAGAGAACACCAAAGTTTAAAGAAACTCACAGCAATATAAGTTTGCATAAGTGACACAACACCAGACATGTTTCCTTTATAGTTTATTTTGTCCCAAACACTTCATCCACAGCTCCGACTCATACATTCAAAGACAAACCATGTTTTCTTATATGTACATTTAACTGTAAAGCATCCTCATAAATACCATAAATAACAACAAAGGAATGGAATTAAATAAATAAATACTCTTTGGGACTGGTTTTAGTGTTTGCTGGTGGTGCCCAGCACCTGTAAAATCACATAGCGAAAGTTCAGATTTGTTGTCAAGATTACTGCTCCGTAAAGGCTGTTTACCCTGTAGTTATATTCATTCAAGTCACGAGGTCGGAAGATTGTACAAATACAGACACATTAATATAACAGAATACTGTAACTGTAGTGATCTGTAGTTTACAAGTTTTGGGTTTTTTGGTTTTAGGTTCGAAATCTAACAATAAAACAAACATCAAACATCCAACTCAGTAAACGCAGGACTCTAAAATACAGGCAAAGCCTAACCTTAACTCTACTAAATGCAACTCTTAAGTATATTCATGTATATATTTTTGATTTAAAATCATGTCTGCCTAGATTCACATCAACAGACAGGGCCTTCAGTCCTCCAGATGTAGGCTAAGTTCGGCTCCTGTCTTGAGATAATGTCACTTTGAAATGTGGGTTTCTCAGACCAGCTGTAAAAACCTCAATGAGAGGAAACCACCAACAAAAGGTACACATGCTGACTTCTCCTCAGTGTTTGGTTAATTAGTTTCTAAGGCTTTGTTTGCTTTAGCAATTGCATCCTCTCTAAAATTAATCATGTAGCTCTTCAGGGAGACCAAACATGAATAATTCAATCAATTTTTATGGCCATTTCTCATCAGAGCTATAACTCAGTGTGAAAGAGAGCCAACTAATTGTAATGGATGGGGGTGGGAAATGGATTTGGATCACTCATCTTGGCACAAAGCTAAGATTTTCTTTTTCAGTAATCTGTTTCTGATGGGGGAAGAGTCAGATGTAAATTCAAAGTCCTTTTTTAAGCTCAATTTATCACCAAAACTTCTTGTGAATGTAAAAAAAAATACTCATTATATTGATGAGATAATTCACACACATGCCTTATTGATTTAAGTTGTTAAATCTGCAGTGATGTCAGAGAATTAGGAATAAATTGTGCAAAAGGGGGCTGCAAGTCAAGTCTAATATTTTGCGTCAAAACTGCTTTTCTGAGTGAGTGATGACTCAGATATTTAGTCAAAATGAAAAAGAAGGAACATCCTGAATCTCCTTTTCAAAATAAAGTCTGATGCGTTTTGTTCTCTGGCATGATGACAAACTACAAGGTTAAACTTTGACTCACTTTAGTAAATCAATCCGGATCAGCCACCACTAAGATCACCCCATGGTCCCGGTGCTCCGGGGGCTGCCCGAGTTAGAGGAGTGCACGTTCCAGGGGTCGTGGGTGGACGGAGCCAGCGGCGTCTCCCGGGACACGTTGCGCCCGTCGTCCCCTGCCTCCACCTCCACCTCCAGATCGGCGTCGTCCTCCGGCACGGCCCGAGAGTCCGAGCCCTCCTCGGTCTGACCCATGTAGACGCTGTGCGGGTCGGAGGGATCCACCAGCTGATTCCTCTTCTCCCTGTGCAGCAGGAGGCGCTCCAGCGGCACCGTGTTCTTCTTGGGCAGGAAGAGGGAGGTCTGCGGCAGGTTCTGGCCCGCGGTGAACACCTGCCGGGAGCCCTCCAGGTTGAAGAGGATGCCGGTCCGGCTGGAGTAGTACACGTCCCGGTTGTTCTCCAGGAGTCTGTGGTTGAACAGACAGTCGTCCCTGAGGCAGATGGGCTGGAGGACAGAAGGAGAGAGGCGAGAAAATAAAATATAGTGAAGGAATATCAAGATGCAAGATAATAAACAGCAGTTTGTTGGTTAGAAAAACTTTTATTTGCATCAGGATACTGGTGAAATCATCTTTAAATAGGCTGCTGCACTGAATGTGCCCAACTTAAGTAAAAAGCTTTTATTTTCTTTCAAATTATATAACTAAATAACAACAAATATCATTTTCCATATTGGTAGGCTTTATGAAGTAGATCTGATAACAATTTTACAAACAAGAATAGAATTTTGCGCATTAGATTGGGGTTGAGATTAGTGCAGTTTTATTTTCTAGATATGATCTGAGTACAGAAACTTGCAAAAGTGTTCACCCCCTGGTGTTTTCCTATTTTGTTGCGTCACAACCTGGAATTTAAATGGATTTTTTATGGACATCCACAATATAATCAAAATTGATGAAGTGAAATAAACAAAATAAAAAAATAAATAAATAAAACTTGCTTAAAAAACCCCCTGAAAATAAACTTAAATGTGGTGTGTATCCTTACGTACCCCTGTGCCCCTGTATCTGTCTTGGTTCGGTACATAAACTTTTTTTTTAATTATTTCAAGGAACTACTCGATTATTAACAAATGAAACTTCTTCTAACGTCGGGACTATAAGCGGGTTGTTAACTTTATATGAATGGTATCATGAAAAATGGATCAAATGAATAAATTCAGGCGTAAAAAGCCAAAGTTACAGAAAATTCTGCGCGTAAAACGATGCGTATACCCTCACCATGGTGTTAAATATGACCACAAAGTTGAGCGTTTTGACCAATTTAGATAACATTAACATTTAGATGAAGAGAGTTGATAAATTTAGAAGATATGCTACAGTTGCAGTAGCTTAAATTTGTGCGTAAAACTTCTAGAAAGCGATTTGTGAATAAAATAAAATAAAAAATAATGCGTAAAACCAGTGTGCCAAATCAAAGGAACTCAAAATTAAAACGTCATTACAGCGGACTGATTTTATTAATAACGACAATCAACTTGAACAGAAGATAAACACTGTCTTACAGAGCTGAATGGGTTGCCCTCCAAATCCATACAGAGGTAACGGCTACTTTTGACCCCGAGGATGGCGACTCGCTCCCTTGTTTCAGCTTTCAGTAAAATCACACCTGCAGAGGGAGAAAAAGCGATGAGCATGAATGTGTTTAAAGACAGGACTTCATATTAAACACGTGTTAAAAAAACAAAAACAACTTACTATATGAACTCCTGACTGTGGTTCTGCGCACTGTGCCATCTAATCTGATCTCCAAGTAGAAGTTGTTGAGGTCTGTGGATGTCTGCAGGTGGACGTATCTCCTCGGGTTCCCCCAGTTGGATCCCACAAGCGGTGACGGATTCGGGACTGATTCCCCGAGATGAAACCCCTGGAGCACGGCGAGTAGAAGCGCCAGCACAGTGTCCCTCACCCCCAATCTCCTGTTGACGTCCATCCTGAGGCAAACCGGTGCTTTCTACTGCGAGCTGCTGGAAGTGTTCAGATGCTCTGATGTCCCAAAGTTTGGAGACAGTTCCTATTTAAAGCCTCCTGAGTGCCACTCCTGCTCACATCCTTTGCGTAAAAAAAAGAAACTCGCCCCCAAAGCAGATGTGCGGGTTTGTTGCAGCGGAAGGGCCACTTCCACCTCTGTCTGTTTATCCTGATGCTCTTGGTCAGACTGGACTCTTATTTTTGGTCTTGACTCATCCACCTTAAACATTATTCTAAGACTATTTCCTAATGGTCCAAAGGCCACTGGGTCTGTTTTTTTGTTTTGTTTAGAACATGGTGCACTGAGCAGCATAAAGAAGAAAGTCAGAAAAAGAAAGGACATACATCCAGAATTGTTTTTTTTAAAAAAAAGAAATGATTTATTAATTAAATCAGGGATGTAATATTTTCTTAGTTATGTTTGACTTAAGTTGAATTGCGCAAACTCCAGGTTTCTTAAAGATTAATAAATTCATTAACATATAATTAAGCGTCATATTATTTTTTCATAGTTTTATTAATCTGTCTGAAAGTTAAGTCACAGTTTGAAGTTCAGTTTGCTGCTGTTACGCACCTGCCCAACGCAACAGTTTCACCATTTCACCAGCAGAGGGAGCCAGTGCCTTATGTAGCGCAGTGTCACTGGGAGACTCTGGGATGTTAACATTTGACTGGCTGAACTATTTATGGATGCTTCAGTTTTAGCAAAGGATACATTCAACTGAATATCAGTTTATATAAGAACACTCCTAAAAACTGTGTTTGAGAAAAACTGTTCAACAGCTCCTCTTAAAAATAAATACATAACCAAATAAATGAATAAAATGTAACTATGTAAAGAAGTTTTAATGGTTCCACCTGGAGCAGCTGCAGCAGTAAAATGCTGCTCACACATTGATGCATCAGTGTTAACAATCTAACATGGTTTATCAGTTACAGAGCGAGTACCTTAAAGGGACAGTTCATGTCAAAATCAAAAAAACATATTTTTCCTTTTAATGCTAGGGTCCATTCCAAAAAGCAGGTTTAGCAAACTCTAAGGGTGTTTTCAGACCTAGAGTTGTCTTGCTTGTCTAGAGTTGGTTCATGTTCTCACGGCAGCATTTACAAGCGGACCAGATCAAATGCCTTGTGTGAGAAAGCTGCTCTTGATTGGTCAGAATTTCCATGTGGAAAAAATCCAGGAAGTAAACAAAACACTGAAGAAGAGTACACTTACAAGATAAATGTGACACTTTCTAATGTCACAATGGAGGGACAACTACGCAGGTTGATTTTAGCGCTGCTCATCGTGGACTATATTGCTGTCATTGTTCATTTTAGTCAAACCATACAGTTTGAAAACGAGGCCCGGCTCCAACTAGAAAACAATGTTTTGATGCATTGGATGTGCTGAATGTGTATATTAAGGCAGTACAGGAGGAGGTGCACATTAATAATCCTCCAGGACTGTAACATGCTCATGTTTAACCCAAACAATGTGTCATGTGACTGCAGTTGGTTCTGATCCAGGTCGGAATACTTTCTCACCACAAACGAACCGCACCAGAGTTCCTTTGGTCAAGTTCAAGGTCTTGGTCCGGTTTTTTGGTGCATGCCTGAGTGTGATTGCTGTGTTCACACCTGCTCAAACGAACTGCACTTAGGGGACAAACAAACTTGAGTTTGATTGAAGTGAACCAAACAGGGCAGGTGTGAAAGCACCCTAAGAACTAACGATGGTACTCCTAATGCAGACCGACCGCTAGGATTAGATCTTTGTATCATTTGTCTCATATTTGATTTTTTTAAAAAAAATATAAATAAATAAATATGAAGTTTGTTGTGTGTGTGTGTGTGTGTGTGTGTGTGTGTGTGTGTGTGTTTGGTTGCAACTAACTTTCAGGGATTTCAAATTATAAGACCAAGATAAAAGGAAAACCTAAATACTTAAGTGAACATTTAAGGAAATCTTAAGGTGAAGACTTAAAGGATAACTTCGGTATTTTTCAACCTGGGCCCTATTTCCCCATGTGTATGTGTGTGTATGATTCATAGGTACAACTAGTTCTAAAATTGGTTCAGTATTGAGGGAGGCGGATGCAACCAGGAGCCGTGAAACGAGCTATAACGGTAACGGGGGCAAATGCGTCCCGTATAAGTTTGCACATTAAAAGTGCTTTTTTTCGCCACTGACCGGTTCAGATCGCCAGTGCTATCTCTGTAAATAGCATACTAACTTAGCCTTTCCCTTACCTCTGGGCTGTGTGACGTCATTTCGCGAGAGCTTTGCTCCACTGTGTCTGTAGCTCTCTCTACTCGTGGGACAGCCATTTTCTTGAGGAAGACGTGTTTCGGGATTGGATGTCTTCTCTTCTTCGGTTGGCAGTAGTCATCTTGGGAGAAGTGAGCACTGCAGACCTGATGGTCTGCAAGGCGCAGTGTCTGGAGAGGAGTGTTAGCATCCATTTGTAGCACAACTAGCCACAACTTCAGCATCTCACCGTCCGACAAAGGCAGCCTATGAAAGCTGTACGGGGTGTTGCGCGACATCCTGTTCTTGCAATTCGGATAAGCACAAACACGAATCATTGTTTTCAATTGATGCAGTAAAACTCTCAACTGTACTCTGGGACAACCAGCGCCACTCTGAGCGGCGCTCAGCATGGCTCCACTGTTTCCTTCAGGCAACAAGCAAAGCTCTTGCGAGATGACATCACACAGCCCAGAGGTAAGGGAAACACTTAGTATGCTATCTACAGAGATAGCACTGGCGATCTGAACCGGTCAGTGGCGAAAAAAAGCACTTTTAATGCTCAAACTTATACGAGATGCATTTGCCCCCGTTACCGTTTTAGCTTGTTTCGCAGCTCAATACTGAACCAATTTTAAAACGAGTTGTACCTATGAATCATACGCACACATACACATGGGGAAATAGGGCCCAGGTTGAAAAATACCTAAGTTATCCTTTAAGGGTGTTTAGTGTAACTGGTTTTATTTTAAGGGGAACTTAACTCAACTTAACTCTTAACTTAAGGTTTTTTGTGCATCACATGCATTTAGAATGTTGATTTTCAGTATAAAGCTAGGCACTCCGGGTGTGCTGTGATTAAGCAATATCACACTCGAGCTCATGATGTTATACTCGTATATCATCACGGCTGTGATTCGGTCATAATCACAGCCATGACGATATACGAGTACAACATCACGAGCTCGAGTGTGATATTGCTTTTATACAACAGTTAGATAATTTAAGCATTTTATTTGTCTTCCGCAAACAAAAATAGTTCCCTCAGGACTCCGCTGTCACCGTTGCTATGTAACGCAGACATGGTGCGCCAGGCACTTACTCTTTACACACATTTATCTGCACATTTCCATTAATTGTGCAGCCGGTGAAATAAGTCTCTGGTGACTGCATGGTGGACTGTCGCTTCACAGGCACAGCAAGACAGACCTGCAAGACAAAAGTTATATTTTAGGGCCCAACTCCTAATTAGAAGACTGACTTAACACATAGGCTACGTTAAAACAACATCATACCTGTGCCCACTCACCGTCATGATCTCCCTCGCTTCAAGTCCCGCATCTGACAGCTTCTGTATGGTGGAAGTCTGGTGGAAGTTTGTTTAAATACTTTTCCAGGGATGCAACACAACTGCTGACCTAACTGACACTAACTGTCAGTTTTGATTTGATTGTTGATTGAAATCAGCTGTGAGGCGGAGTGATACATACACAGTGAAATAACCGTGATGTTGTACTCCAATATCGTCACAGTTTTACTGTCTCTCGACCAATCAGATTGCGGGGCCGGAACTAACTGTTGTATAATGTAAAATATGACATCATGCACGATTTTTGAATTTTTAAAACATGCACCTACAGGGCCAAGTTGTAGGAGCTCATACTTTGAGAAAGACTTTATGAAAAAGACACTGTTGGCAAGAGAAACAAATACTGAAAACAATTTCCAACCCGGAGACAGATTGAGAAGAGATGGCAGGAAACATGGATCAGACTAAAACTGAGGTCAAGAGGCAAAGCCAGGCTTTCTTGAAGGCGTGTGATGAGCTACAAGCCAAACTCTGTAAGCCTGGTCCCACCACCCCCACAACCACACAGGAGGCAAAGACAGAGTCCCCCACAAAGCCAGAGGGTGAGTCTCCAGGATGTCTACCTATGAAGGGTGACACTCTTCATGAGCGCCTGCAGAGAATCGAGTACCTGCTCCAGCAGGAAAAACAGATGGAGCTACAGGCACAGCAAGAGCAGGCCGCCATGAAACACAAGCTCCAGGACACAGAGAAGGAGCTGGAGGAAGAGCGCCGTTTGAGAGTCAAGTGTGAGAAGCTGACAGACACATCAGGAAGAAGAAAAGCAGAGTGACCTAATGAACGAACTGGTGAAAGTCAGTGCTGAACTCAAAGCGATCCTCTCCAAAGACATGACGCTGATTGAGAGGCTAGGAGCTAAAAATAAAGACCTGGAGCGTGAGAGGTTGGAGATGAGATTCCTGCACAAACAACAACAAGAGGAGAATGCAGCTCGGCTAGATGACTTGAGGAAGCAGCTGCAGGAGAAGACCAGTGAGTTAGCCTCCCAATCAAAGTCAGAGGAGAAGACCAGTCAGGACCTCCAGAAGAAGTGTGAGGCTCTGCAACAAATGATGGACGAAACTGTCATCGAGCCAGTCCTGGAGGACCCTCAACCGAGGAAGAGAGCTGCCAGCATTGAAGAGGCTCCAGATGCTCCAGAGGCTTCGGATGCTCTGGATGCATTTCTGCGTCCAGTGTAAACCCGGCGTTACGGTAAACGCCACTGGGGGGCACAGTGCAAAATAAAGAAAAAACAAGATGAAACTTGCAAATCATTTTCAAATTTTCTCAAAAATATCATATCTTTTTGGGGGTTGGGGTGTTGGGGAAGCTTGCCTAGGGTGCTGAATGTGCTCGGTCTGGCACTGGTCTTAAGTTTGATCACTCTACTTCACGCAGCCCCTTTGCAATAATTAATACTCTGTGGTTTTATGCAACGGGACCTTACCTCATTACCTCAGTGAAAGATGGCGAGGTGGTTCATGTCCACAGGGTAACAGTGTGTCGCGTCATTCTCCGAGCTTCAAACCTGTCTGCTGAATACTGGTCCAAAAGAATACATTTTGATGATAACAGTTCCAGGTACTTTTATTATGGTAAGATGCAGAATGCTGGAGTATTTTACACTGTGAGACTTTCGCTTCGTCTATGGGTGAATCCCGGCTTCCATAGGCAATAAATCCTGAATATTTTGACCAATCAAATTCCACTGATGTTCTATTTGAGTGGTTTTCAATTTGAATTCTTATATCTTATATTTAAGCAACCTGAATCTATTTTTTGTAATTCTGAAACTTGAATGTTTTTGGGATCTGAATTTGTGAACACTGAAAAAATATATAAATAAATAAATAAATAAATAAAATTTAGAAGGCGAAGCTTTTGATTTACTAGTCCATCTACGTCCCAATCCTCACCTATGGTCATGACCTCTGGGTAGTGACCGAAAGAATGAGATCACAGATACAAGCCGCCGAAATTACTTTCCTCTGTGGGGTGTCTGGGCTCAGCCTAAGGGAGTGATCACACAGAAACGAGACGCTAGAGACGCGGACGCTTCAAAGACGCTTGAAACGCTGGAAGCGCTTTTTCAATGCGTGCTAGCTACTGGCGTCTGACACTCAAAAAAGTTGAAAATATTTTAACTTTTCAGCGTCTATGCGCGTCTAAAAAGAAGCGTCTACAAAAACGGCAATCTAAAAAGACGCTGGAAAAATGCCCGTCTAAAAAGATGCTTGAACGCCGGTCAGATGCGCCGTATCATAGGAAAACAATTGTTTTACTGGCGTTGCGTTTCTAGCATTTCATCTCAGTGTGATCGCTCCCTAAGAGATAGAGTAAGGAGCTCGGACATCTGGTGGGAGCTCGGAGAAGAGCCGCTGCTCCTTCGTGTCGCAAGGGGTCAGTTGAGGTGATTTGGACATCTGATCAGGATGCCTCCTGCTGGAGGTGTTTCGAGCACGTCCCACCGGTAGGAGGCCCCGGGGCAGACCCAGAATGTGCTGGAGGGATTACATATCTCTTCTGGCCTGGGGATGCCTCGGGTCCCCCCAGGAGGAGCTGGAAAGTGTTGATGGGAAGAGGGACGTCTTGCTTGTTTATCATCTGTTTATGAGAACAAATTAATTCCATCTGCGCAGTTCCTACTTGGTGCATGTCTACAAACTGTATGGCAGCCCTGCCATCATTAGGTGAATGGAAAGAATGCAGAGCTGTGGGCCGTTTAATGTCGGCCTGTGGGTCACAATTGGCCCCCGGGCCGCACTTTGAACATGCCTGCCCAAAATCCTACACACTGGACCTTTAAGTAAAAGACCTGGGTGCTTCTTCCACCCCTGATAAACACAAAGTCCCATCAGAGTTGAGCCGATCCAGCGGAGAGAACGACACTTTACCAGCAACCAGTTAAAAAAAAAAACTTTTATTGTTATCTCAGGAATACAGTAGACTGCTGTGCACAGCACATACGTACAAAAATAAAAGAAAAAACTTTAATATCCTTACTTAGCATCGTCTGTTTTCAGAAACAAATAACTGCAGTTTGTTTCATCTCAATTTACAGTCATCAGCAAACCAAAACTAAGGCAGAGGGTGAGGTATATGAGAACAGAGATGAGAGGAATAGAGTGGATGCTCACTCCCTTTTAGACCAGGAGTTAAAGAAAATACACACAAAGCACACACCCCTTATTAAGCTAGGGGGCCAGGCATGCTAATAGTACATTAAGCATTAAAAAAAGATATTCCTCCTCTTGAATTAATTCAGATTTGATCTATGATAAGCTGTGGAAAGAAAAAAAAAAAAGACGACAGAGAAATCTGGATAAAATTTTTTGGTCAAAGCTGAAAGGTGAGCTTTTTGTTTTAGACACAGACCTTCACTCTTTTAGGGATCCAGCTCTATTTTCTGACAGAAAACGTGTGAGAAAACTGTAGTTTATGATCAAGTAAGGTGCTGTTACAGACGTCAGACATCTTTGATTGTGAGGTGGGTGAGAGAAGTGCTCGTTGCTGTGCATGCGCAAAGTTCACTCCTTCACATCTTCCTCGGCTGAAAACGCTGAAAACGTGGATCGTTTCTGTTTTGTGTGTTTTGCAACTTTAGCCAAAACCAAATGATGATTTACTCCCGGCGAGAAATGTACACCTGTGCTATTTCATGCAGCCTCATCTACAGCAGCAACAAGTCGGTTTTGTTTTTTGAAACTTTGAGCTACGCTCCAGGTAAGATTTGCATCTCGGTATCCTCGGCACTCGCACACACGCAAAAACTCCTCAGAACAAAAAGAGCAAGAGATTTATCTGTTAGAAAAATACTGTTATGAATCGATCTGTGCATCATAGACAGTTGAGCAGCAGGTGATACTGTGTCAGTATGAGATGAAAGGTGTTTGGGGTCGGGGCAGTGCCCAGCAGCAGCAGCAGCAGCAGCAGAGGGCACGTCCTGAGGATGGCTGGGCTGCCGTCCTGCAGCAGGAGAGGAGAGGTGAGGCTCTGCGTGACTCGGCTCCTCGCACACTGCATTAACTCTGCAGATGTCCCCTCCCCAGAAATATTCAAAGACAAGCACTTGGGAAGGGGCGGGGACGGCATGTTGTGGAGCTGCATTTTAAAGTGGTGGGGCTCTAGAAATCCTGAACGGGGAGTACTTTGAAAAGATTCTGCAGATGGTGAAGCGAGGAACTACGAGAGCTATCTATGGTTTGTACAGATGAGCTGGAGAGCAACTCTCGAGCCATCAGTTCACTGAATTTGATTCTGTGTGTGCAGTAAATTAAGTGTTTCCTGCATGAAAAAGATACCTCAAATTCCTATTTCACGGAAACAGTAAGACCCATATAGCCGACCACCGTGGCCACTGGGGTTGGGGCCAAGGCTGGTCTGTGACTCTGACCTTGAACTAAAAAAGGCTGAAAGGAGAGGAGGAAGCTCCTGGGTTACAGCTGGAATCCCAAGGTCCCTGCCTGCGGCGGGTGAGGGGGGTAAGGGACGAGCGGAGGTGGGTGGCGAGGGGTGACAGAGCTCAAAGGAGGGGGGCCGCTCAGGTATGTGGGAGGCTGCCTGTCATCCTGGCAGATCCACATTCCTGCAGGGCGTTTGACGAACAACAAAGACAGCAGGCCGGCTCCCTCGCATGCGTCTTTCCTGGATTTAAATAGTTTGGCTTCCTGTCTAAACAAGAACGCATGGAGGCAGCGAGATTCAGGTCTTCCAGTCAACAGCTGCAGACACTGCACGGGTTGATGCACGCTGTAAGATTCTCAGAAACTAAGTGAAGCAAGAACAACGTCCTCAGATCATTTAACAAGATCTATAATGTCAGGATCAGATGATATTTCTCTGCTAAATCTTATATATATTTATTATTTTTGCACTTGATTTGAATTAGGATATTTTACTTTAATTTTACAGTTTTTGTTTGGCAGCTGCTGCTGCAAGTCATTTACCCATTTTCTCACTTTATTGAGGGTATTTTGTCAAAATAATTCAGGAAAAATCAGTAAAACAACTCTTCTGTTTAACTTTTAGTGCCATCATTTTCTTTAAGGTGTTTGATCATAATAATTTACTGAAAAAAAAAAACTGCAAATAACATTGTTTCTCTGGACAACATTTGATTTAAATTTCTGCAAGTTTAAAAATTTTGCACTTCGTTTGAATTGGAATATTTTTAATTAAATTTTAATTTTATTTGAAATTTTGGGTTTGTGTTTTGCAGTCAGTGCTCCAAGTCATTTATCCATTTTTTCACTGTATTTAGGGCGTTTTATCTTAATTATTCAGGAAAAATCTGTAAAAATAACAGTATTTTTCTGCTAAACTTTCAGTGCCATCATTTTATTACCAAGGTGATTGTAATAATTTAGGAAAAATAACAGTGTTTCACAGGACAACCTTTGATTAAAATTTCTATAACTTTATCATTTTTGCACTTAATTTGAATTAGGATATTTTAATTTTAATTTTAATATTACAGTTTTTGTTTGGCAGCTGCATGTCATTTGCCTGTTTTTTTCACTTTATTGAGGGTATTTTATCATAAATAATTCAGGAAAAATTAGTAAAATTACATTTTTTCTTTTTTAGTGCTATCATTTCATTAAAGGTGTTTGATCATAATAATTTAGCGAAAAACTGTAAAATGAGATTTTCTCAGGATGACTTTTTTAAAAATTAGGATATTTTACTTTAATTCTATGGTTTTTGTTTGCAGGCCATTTGCCCGTTTGTTTTCTTTTAAGTTGTTGTTTGTTTGTTTTTTCACAATGTGGATCACGATAAGTTGATCATGGTGAATTTTCATTATTGAGATAATTGTGAGTATCATGTCCACCAGTACACAGACAGACTGCTGGACACCCAATGACTCTACAAAAACAGACAGCATATGCACCAAACTCAAAGAATGCAGAAGATCTTAAACAAGCATTGGTGTATTTCATATCAACAGATTTGATGATTTGATTTTAAACTTTTTTAGATTGTTTGTTTTTTCTTAAATGAATGTTGACTAAAAAAAAGATGCAAGTCCTGTCAGTGATGCAGTAAAAAATATTTGTTCCTTTAAATGTAAGGTAAAGTGGTTCCAGCATGTTTTAGTGCTATTTTAGGAGTTTTAAGCATTATCGGGATGATACTGAAATTATTTTGGGCAGGATGACCACGACATGAAATGTTCATATTGTCCCATGCCTTATATGGATCAACATGATAGTAATGAGTGTACAAAGCATGGTAGATGCTCAGCTTATTATATTAAAAAAGTGCTTCTAAGCCCTGTTTACCCTCCAAATTCATAAAATGAAGCTTAAAAAAATCAAGTGATATTTCTTATAGCGTGCATGCAGTCAACCAGCTGCACTGTCCTTGAGTCCTTCGGGAGAACGTGATTGACTCCTCCATAATTGCATTAAAACTATCTGCCTCCAGCTCCCAACACCTCGCTGCCACTGCAGTGCTGCTGCAGAGCACACACACAAATGGGGGGGGAAATGGCCCAGGGCGCGCACATACTCCACCAATCACACAAAGACAAATTAAAAGAAACAAAAGGCGTGGGAACGATTTGTACCAAAGCATTCAGGCGCCATCATGGATGGCTAACTGTGCAACCCGAACTCTTTTTGCCTCGTTCAGGCAACTGCGACGAAGCAGCGTAAAAAGCTCCTGAAGTCTTCTTTTTACATTTGCAACTATTTACAGTGTTTTTCATTGGTTTTAATGGACAGTAGACATCATTTTCAACAGCAGCTAAAGCTTTGCACACACAGCAACCCGCCTTACTGTAGGAGCTCCGTCCAAGACAATGAGCAGGTTTCTACTGTGCACTCGCAATCTATCCCTTCAGTCGATTCTTGTGCAAGCTAGGTCCAAACAAAAATTCCCCCCATGCTCGGATAGATATGTATTCCACCCTGTTTATTAGCTGGCACAGTCATACTTATGGCCTTGTGCCACTCTCTATGGCCGACTGCTCTCTGGTCTCAACCACAGATTGTATATTACTTAATCGATCTAATTACAGAAAAAAAAATAAACCAGAGATAGTCCCCCCCCCCCCCCCCTCTGAGGCCCTCTCCGGAGTGTCAGCCCTATTTCTGACTCCGGCGGGTGTCTCTTACATGCAAGTTTAAGGGGGCCACAAGTGGGAACACCAAGGCACCTTTAAATCGTGCAGCAAAGGTAGTGCATTTAAGTTTCCCCCACTGCCGGACATCGATAATCGAGCAGGGAGCCATCAAGCGCTCAAAAGGTTTCAAAAGAAAATCATAAACTTAGCAGATATTTGAGCAGAAGTCCATGCATCCCTTAATCTAGTAAAGTGGTTCTTTGAGGTAATAAAAAGTATTCATTTCACTCTTTAAAAGCACAGGATATAGCTCATCCTCCATCTCAAAAAAGGAAGTGACACGTAGTTCAGTTACAGCAAGCACCAAGGTAAAGTGAGACAGGCAAAGGCTTCAACTCTCCCCGTCCATAAAAACAATAAGCAGCACAGTACATATACAAAGATAGCTATCCAAATATACATATATATATAAACAGAATAAATATTTGTGTTTTCTCTCGCAGTCCTTCGGTGTGTGTGTGTGTATCACGACTATGCATTTCTGTGTTACCTGGAAGAACATCCACATGTGCAAATTACTGAGTTATTGCCAGTTTCTCTCATAGTCGCGGGAGGAAGTGTGTGACGGTCATGGCGGTGGTGGCCTTGTTGCCTCTCTTTACGCGGCCATGCTTGCTGAGGGCGATGTAGAAGCCCTTGTAAACAAAAGACTCATAGGCGTTGTAGTTGTTGGGCAGCAAAGTCTCCTTGAACTTGCACTCATCCACGAAGACTCTCTAAAAACAGCGGGGAACAAAGACAGAGAGAGGGAGGGTCAATAAATCTCATCACAGACACAGAGTGAAAACAGAGCAGGAGACAAGAGGAGGTGGCAGCCTCCTGTTTCTACTCTCATTACTCACAATATATTCCCAGGTAGGCTACTAGACAACTAAATTTTTTCTACCTTATTCAAAGGAGAACTAAGTAAGCAACGATCAAATGTAAAACAATAGCTACAGCATTAGGAAACAAGGACACATTATATCTGACAGTCCAACACATTGTACTCCATAAAATCCTTATTTCTAACCATATTTGAACAAAATTTAATTAAGTTTATATCCTTTAAGACTAGAGCTGGGTATAGTACCAATAAGATACTTGACCAACACCAAAACAATACTTTATATTCCTCAAAGCAAAATATTGAATGAACATAGTTTCCTACAAAACCCATTTTAAGAAAAGAAGCTTAACTTCTTACATGTTGAATGCTGATTAAAGCAAGCTGTAAAATAATATTGCCTCAACAAAAAGCTTTAAAGCTGAAGTTGGTCATATTTTCTGAACATGAACATCCATACAGCAGTGCAGAAAGTATGTGAAAAAAATAATGTTTGGCAGAAGAACATCTAATGCCATAGCCTGACGTGCACCTCCCCAGAAATGTAACAACACGACGCAGTGACACAGACCTCCTGTCTATGTTTGTAAGCTGAAACCATTTCCCTCAGTGGAAACAAAGCTTTAATTTACTTTAATTTCACAGATAAAAAACAAACTATAAAGACAATAAAGCCTCCACAAAATAATATTTTAAGTCTTGTGAGTGATTTATCCTGGCTTCATATGAGCAGAGGAAATCTCTGCTTGTTGCTAGGCTAATTTATACAATGTAAAATGTCATAGGCTTGTGCTAATAATGTTAGCATGTTATATTGGTGGAGAAAATGTGTCCAGATAAAGACAAGCGTTTGTCTGTGAATGCTGTGAGTTATAGTGAAGCTGATTTGTGTACTTGTGTTTGAAATTGTCTCTATTAAGCCATGTTTAATGTGTGTTTAATGTGTGTTTTGAATCAACTAAACTTTACAGCACTTCACAGAAACCTCACCGCCAACTAGTGTTTTGGAGGTGTAACTGCAGAGTGACACAGACACACCACCACACAAGTATAAATGCTCACAACCGTGCAGGCCACATGCATAGACTAAGGTATAGGCTCTGCATAGAGCTGATGCACAAGTATAAATCCCACTTAAATTGAGAAAGTTAGTCCATTCAACATGGCAGCTGGGTCACAAACTTTCTCATTTTATAGCTACACTGAAATACGTTTCTGTAAAAATCCAAGGCGAGAAAAAAGCAATGCAGTGACAAAATATTGATTCGTATTTGGTCAGCACTGCCTGGTTTGACAGTTTGACCACAGTTCATTAAGCCGTGGTGGTCATTTATGCTCAACATTAGATACGACGACGGTGACGGATGGAGCCCTCTGCCCATGCCTTCATTTCATCTGTATTTGCACATATTTCCTGAAAGCTTACAGCTACTGACAAAACGTAGCAGTACCACCAGAGATTGTGAAAGCAGTGTAGAGCAATACAAGCAAGACACGACTGTCGGAGACAACGAAGAAATTTAAATAATGGCAAAACTTATCTGTAATATAGTGAAAAGAATTCTCTATCCACATGTCAGGATGTAACGTTAAAGGCTGCATAGACCAACGCCATCTACAAGACTGCCTTTAAAAGGTACAATATTAAGACCTCTTCCACCATCGCCTCATTTTATGTTGTGTGAAACTTTTGATTCCGCCCTCTAGTGTCATCTATGGGCTGTATCTGTGCCATCATAAAGGACGCATGGAAGTATGAGGGCAGTGATGTTTACAACGTTTGAAACAGACGTATCTATTTTCGTATGTAAAGGGAGTATTAATGAGACTCCTCAGTTCTAATGGGTTGTTTTCCTAGTCGACCAATAGTCGTCATTTTGGGCCATTAGTCGACTAGTCGCCTGCATGTTTACGATATTAATGTAATTATTAAGTGATATATTTTGGTCGGGGCAACTCAATGGTTTGAGTTGAAGGTGTGAGAAAGAATAGTATCAGTAACATTGTTAACACTGTGCTACATTACAGAGAAATACAAAACCATACTAATGAACCTTCATTAATATAGGCCTATATTTTATCTACAAGTGCACGTCACACACTGAGCGAGCCGCCTGTTAATGATGCTGTGGGCTAATGGGCATGTAGCTACTTCCATGTTTCAGATGATACGTCATGTTTGTAGTCGACCAATGAAGGTGAGTTTACATATCACCTTGGGTTCGTCCTTCACCTTCTCAAAATGATCCCACACTTTGGATTTCCTGCCCAACATGTTATTAACTAGCCTGTGGAATAACCGCAGGTACCAGCCCTGGAAATTAACCTGACTCCTGTCTGACTGCTGAGCGTGGACACTTCCTGTGTCTGTCCTTTCAAATTAAATTCCCACATGATCCAGTCATATAGGTTTTGATTTATTTTGACAAGGTGCAGCTCCTAATAGAGTCTCACGTTTGTTTGTTTGTTTGTTTATCCTGCGACTAAGCGACCAATGAAATCTTGCCAACTAATGCCCTTTCTGGTCGACTAATGTTTGGTCGACTATTGATTTATATTTGAAACCTTATTAGAAGTTTTTATAATAGAAACTGAGTGAGTAGATGTTGGCACTTTCAACCCTGAACGCTATCAAAGAAGTAATGAGATGTAATGGCTAATCCTACATAAAATTACATCGATCTCTTTTTAATAGAGATAAATAAATTTCTCACATAGGCTCATTCAAAACCAACAGGACAGTTACCAATCATTCAATACCTCCTTGAGTACTCTAAACACTGTATACTGTATGTTTCCTCCTATACGCAGTGCACATGGTATTTAAAACTACAATCTGATGTTCTGAGGTTAGTTCTTAAAATTCTTACTAGTTTTCTATGATACATGTTCAAAACAATCACTTAAAATGTCTTTTTACAGTAAAACATTTTGTAAGTATATTAAGGTGTTTTACAGTGTAATTTTTCAGTGCTATCTTAACACGCCTAAATAAACATATACTTTACATTTGTGATTATTACATAATAAGCATTAGACACTACGTCAGAACTGGCCTTCTTTTAAAGACAGGACATTACTCAGTTCAACGTTTGTCTTGCTGTTGGTTTTGATCATGAATGTTCACTTACTGTTTGACTGTTTGCAGATGAATGATCACTAATGTTTATTATCTGCTTTGATTAACTTAGTGAGGAATAAACATATATTTACTTGGTTATCTTTTTTTAATGATTTATGCGATTTCAATCCTTCTGTTTCATTAAATCTAAGAGGGAGAACTTTTACTCCACTACATTTATTTTAAAACAACAACAATGATGCATTATCATAGTTTAATATAAGACTTTATTGATCCTCTAGGGAATATTCACAAGCTATCCAGCGCTACATAAAGTCATTAAAATGAGCTCCACCTTTATCAGCTGCAACATTAAAGAGCATTACTGATTATAATACGATAATATAATATATATTATTGTGAAACTGGCCATTCTGCATAATGAGCACTTTTACTTCTGGTACTGTAAGTATATTTTGATGCTGATACTTTTGTACTTTTACAGTGTTTAATACTTGTAGTGGAGTACTCTCATGTTGTGGTGTAGCTGCTTTCACTCTGGTGGAACATAACTAAGTAAATTTACTAAAGTTACTGTACTTAAATACGACTTTGAGGTACTCGTACTGGAGTATTTTCAGTTTCTGCTACATTATACGTCTACTCCACTGCTAACCAGACACAGATATTGTACTTTATACTCCACAACATCTATTTTAATGACTTCAGTTACTTTGCAGATTGAGATTAATACCAAAATATAATCAACAAATAAATTATGATGCATTATTTTAGGGTTAATATAAGACTTGATTGAATTCACAAGCTACCCAGCACTATATTAAGTCATTAAAATGAGCTCCCCCCTTTATCAGCTGTAATATTAAAGTGCATCATTGATTACAATATGATAATTTATTATTGTAAAATGGGTTCTTCTGCATAATGAGCACTTTTACTTCTGGTACTGTAAGTATATTTTGATGCTGATACTTTTGTACTTTTACTTAAGTACAGTATTAAGTGCTTGTGGTGGAGTACTTTTATACTGTGGTATGGCTGCTTTTACTCTGGTGGAACATAACCAAGTACATTTACTCGAGTACTGTGTTTAAGTACAATTTAAGGCACTCGTACTGAAGTATTTTCATTTTGTGCTACTTCATACGTCTACTGCACTATGATTTAGGGGCAAATATTGTACGTTTTACTCCACTGCATTTATTTTAATGACTTTGGTGACTTTGCAGATTGAGATCAATAACAAAATAGAATTAAGAAAATAAATTATGATGCATGATTGTAGGTTAATATAAGACTTTACTGATACTCTGAGCTATCTAGCAGTAAATAAAGTCATTATATATTACTGTGAAACAAGCACTTTTACCTTTGGTACTTAAAATACATTCTGATGCTGATACTTTAGTACTTATCTAATAGTTGTAATGGCATACTTTTACATTGTGGTATAGCTGCTTTCACTCTGGTGGAACATAATTAACTACATTTATTTAAGTACTGTACTTAAGTATAATTTTGAGGTACTTGTATGTAAAAGCAGAGTGACCAGGCAGTATATAACGTCCTTAAAATGAGCTGCACCTGCAACATTAAAGCGCTTTAATATATATATATATATATATATATATTATTGTGAAAGGGGCCATTCTTCATAATGAGCACTTTTACTTTTTGTACTTAAGTATATTCTGATGCTGACACTTTGAAATAAAAATCTGAATGCAGGACTTTGACTTGTAACAGAGTATTTTTACACTGTGGTATTAGTAAAAGATCTCTGCCCCTGACACACAAACTCCCCCATCATCATCAGAGCATATTAATAACACAACAGCGCTCATAAAGCCACGGATGCAGCAGCTACACGAACTCATCTTACACTGAGCAGGATGTGTGTGCGTGCCTGTGTGTGTGTGTGTGTATGTGCCTGTGTGTGTGGAGTTGCGCACAAACGTACCGTTCCGTATAACCTTCCCCTGCTGTTCATTGCGACAAACAGCTCACTCCTCACCCCGAACATGCTGATCACTCCTCGGTCCACGGCGGAGATCTCTATCAGACCTAAAGGAGACACAGTGTTAGGACAGGACAGCAGCATAGACAGTGTCACACTGCGACGGGGGGGGGGGGGGGGGGGGGGGGGGGGGGGGGGGGGGGGGGGGGGGGGGGGGGGGGGGGGGGGGGGGGGGGGGGGGGGGGGGCAACACAAAGTCGAGTAACTGGCCTCTGCAGCAGTGATGGGTGTAACCTTGCAGGTGCATTGCGACTGGATGATGCTCTCTCTGCTCAATCAGCCCTTTGGATTAATCACCTATATGCAGTTTAAACATGATGTGAGTGTAGTTTACAGGGTGCTGAGTGGGTCTCTGTGTGTGTGTGTGTGTGTGTGTGTGAGTGTGAGACTGTGTGCGTGCTGCTGCAGCGGGACGCAGGGTAAAAATAAGTTAGCGTCTAAACTGGGTCCAAGCATTCATGTCATGTTTTTGGCTTGGGAGGATATTTCGCACTGCAGGATGTAAGGGCTCAGTACACTGTTTTTGCTTTCGGAAACTTTCAACCATGCCGACGCGTCTTATTAAATATCATGCAAAGACAAGTGACCCGCTCTAACTTTCACACAGCCTGCGCATAGGGTTACACTCTTTTTCGGCTCCAGCGCGTCGCCGGATGCAACTCACTGTATTGGTTCTCATTGTGTGCACCGCTTATCCTGCCATCCGGGAGCACCTGCAGGTGAAACCCAATGCCCACGTTGCAGTACAGTCGCCGCACTCTTTTGATGCCCTGCAAATAGTCACTCTCCCAGTTCAGCTCCGATTTCCCCCCGTTTATACCCAGATAGGAGCGGGAGAAGAGCGTCTCCCACTTCTTCTCCAACAAAGTCGCATTAGTCCTGCTCGGAATCGGATAAGATGAAACGATCCCCCAGAGAGAAGTCCACAGTACAAGAAGTGCTGCCAGCGTCCAGTGCGTCCTGGCCCCGTTGGACATACTGTAGAGGCACCTCTGCGCAACGGCCATCCAGTTTACCTTCGGGGCACGTGGTCAAAGTTACCTGCCCTAAAAATGCAACTCTTCTTATTTTTTGTCCTTTGGCATGGTGGTGGTAAAGGCTTGTTTTGGGATCAAGGCAGATCAGGGCCCCATAGCCCGAGATCTGAGTAGGAGGAGAGGGACAGAGCGCGTCGGAGCTTGAATTGGTGCCGGTGGCGATGATCATCTTTCGCCGCTCCGCGCCTCTGGACAGGCAACGCTGGTCGTGGAGGGGACACACCACTCACCGCAAAACCAGCTCACCTTGCCCCCCGACACTCACATCCTAAAATGACATCACTGTGACTTCACCGCTGCTCCCCCCATCAAAAGGAGGAGGAGGAGGAGGAGAGGGAGAGAGAGAGAGAGAGAGAGAGAGAGAGAGAAAGAGAGAGAGAGAGTTACAAGACCCCAGCAGCAGCAGCAGCAGATCTGATAGGAATGATGGGGGGGGTGCTGCACCTTCACATCGGCTTCGGCTCAGACAAGTCACAGACAATATGAAGGCGCATTTCCTGTGGTGCTTTTCAAAATAAAAATCAGTGTGGCTGTGTTCCAACTCTCAGAAGGATCAAATGATTCTCTGCATCATCAGTCTCCAAACCTAAATAAATAAACATGTAAAGAAAAGCCTGAATAAAGGATTTCATACACAGTGAACGGTTTGATGAGTAAGAAAATGATATAAAATCATCCGCTTTGACCTCCACAATTTGAAGTTTAATTTGTCATTACCCAGGTAGGGGTTTAACGATTCATTGATCTGGATCGATATATCCATTCAATGATCAACAATCCAATATCATCCATACAAAGCGAAAACATCGATCCATATTGTCATCTTAGGATATGCTTTTATTTTGAAAAGGCAGAAGGCAAGCAGCCAAGAGAAAGACGACTTGGGAATAAATCTGCAGAGTGGAATTAATTTGGACAAGTACGAGTCAACAGACAGGTCACATTACAAGATAAAACACGACATACCTGCCTGGATAAGCATCTCACTCCACTGAGTCTCACTCAGTTTAAAGTAAACTTTGCTGCACTTAAGCAGTTACTATTATTTACATTATTTATATGTTGTTTTTATCTTTTATGGCCAAAAGCAAGAAAGAAAGGGGTGGCAGCTTCTTCTGTAACCGACTGTGTTATATGAGCATTTAATATTGTCTCATATCGATTGCAGGCCCCTAAATCGCATTGAATGAAAATTGTATTGTGGCAGACTTTGCAATATTTGCAAACATTGTATTGTTGTCTAAAGAATCATTATAACATCACATCATGATGAAACTGGTGATTTACACCCCTACAATCAAAGAAAAATGGAGCAATTCAATTAACTTCAATAGAAAGGTCAAAGTTCAATGGAAAGTGCCGGACTTAGCCAATGAGATATCAACACAATCAAACAACTTAGTTACAACACGCTCTCATCCCAACTCGTCAAATACCACCACGCTGTCAGAAGCCCTACAAAAGACGTCCTGCATCTGTTTTGGATGTTCAGGGATGGTGTGTCAAGTTACACTTGTTACATGCATTGTGTCTTTTCAAAGTAAACTTCCATTTTCACAGGAAATGTACAGTTTCCATTCGTTATATGCATAGTCTTTTTAAAAATAAACTTACAAAGGAGGTAAAACACTTTGTTTTAGCACACTACGCTGTTATTAAAATAACGATTTACTTTTCACAAGGGATGCCAAAGTGAAACCCGGGATATTTTTAATGAGACACTAGGACATTTTTGGTTGGGTTTGTGGCAACAAAACAGTGTATTTTAAGTAGATGTCAGGTCATTTCCTGTTGTATTTGTGGCAACAAAATCAGGTGTTTTTAAAAAGACATTTCCAGCTGTGTATTTGGCAACAAAACCGGGTATTTTTAAGGAGACGTCGAGATATTTCCAGCTGCATTTGTTGCAACAAAACCAGGTATTATTAACGAGACATTGGGACCTTTCCAGCTGTGTTTGTGGCAACAAAACCAAAATTTTTAACAAGACAATTCCATCTGTCTTTTTGGCAACAAAACTGGGTATTGTTAAAGAAACGTTAGGACATTTTCAGCCACGTTTGTGGTGACAAAACCAGGTATTTGTAATGAGATATCAGGACATTTACAGCTGTGGAAAACATAATGTTTTCCTAAACCTAACCAGGTGATTTTCTTGCGTAAATATAAGTACACATTAGCCATGTTAAGATAACACTGTCGCAAGATAAACTGAAATCATGAAGTGTAAAGTTTCAATATTTTTGCTTTAAACTAAATGCACAAATATAACATACCAATAATACACAGAAATGTACAATGGCAAAAGATTTCTTCTGGCAAATAGGTTGGTATTTTCTCATGAATGTCATTTTGATATCACAAAATGTATGAACAACATAGATTATAAATCTCATCTGAGAGAAATTCAGGGTTGCAAGACCCTAATACCCCCCCCCCCCCAAGCTGTGGTATTCTGTGCTTTTATTTTGAAGGTAATCTAACCTATTTTCTCCGTCTTCCTGTGGCTAAATGCGGCTGACCTGACACAGCTCTTCCTCACATGGGAGACCTGCAGGAAGGGAGGGTGTGTGTGAGTCTGTGAGACTTTCATTGGTGTTGAGCAATCATGGGATGGATGGATGGATACTGTGTCCAGAACCCAAATCGGGACGGTGGTCATATGTCCTGGCAGCCTGCTGCCTTATTTAGAAGGAAGGTGTAAAAACAGTCACAGCCAGTCACAGGAGAGCAAATGGCAATCCAGTCTGACACTTCCTTAGCTGTTTGTTCAGGAAGTTTACACAACGAGATATTTTGCCTGGTCAGATTGCGCGTTATTATTGTAAGTAACACACCCAGCGACTAACAGAATAATATGTCCTGCGTGAATCAAATGCATGGCATTGTTTTGAGTTCAGGTCCAGAAATAAAGCTGTTAAGGGAGTGTTGAAGAAGACCTGCAGTAGCCGTTTAAAAATGGCAGGAAGCTCCATTTTATTTTAAAAAAAATACCAAATTTTGTCAGTTTTAAATGTGGAAAAAATGTGGAGCAAATAAAAGTAAGCTGAGTGCACAGGTTCACCCTCCTTTACATCCCTGTTTGCATCCCATCCTGCAGGGTGCTGGTAGGAGATGAGGACTCAGGGGAATTCCCAACGCGTCATAGAGCACCAGGCTCTGGGGCCCAGAGGTGCTGTCGGCTGCCAGGGAGCCTCAAGCCCACCTTAGCAACCAGAGAGGCCTTGTTACTGATAAACAGCAGTGGCAACCCATAAGGGAAAAACAACAAACAAACAAAACATCTCATTTATCCAACAAAGTGGACATACGTAAAGCGCAACAGAAATGTAATTATACATGTTGACAGTCAATAAAAATACATACATTGCAAGTATCTGTTATATATTTAAAGATACAGTGTATGTAGTCAATGCGTATGTATAAAGTAAAAGAGAAATCAAGGACCTTTCAGTACGACTGGAGCAGACAGACTGGACCACACCGGACCATCAAATTAATGATTTGCTGTGTAAGCACATGACGATGCAGTCCAAGGCAACCAACAGCCTGAATAGACAAAACTACTTGGTTATTGACAGAGTGTAACTTCAATCAATGGAGAGTGGGCACCGTTAATGAGACGCTGCTGAGCTCTGGAGATTAATTCAGCTAATACCGTTATACTGGCTGAGGCTGCTTTTTACGGAAACCTAATGCATTCACTTGAGAAATGAAAAAATCTGCTCTTTTTCTGAATTAATGAGATTATTATTACAGAAATCTGGGAAAAAGGTTTCCTGAAAAAGAAAAAAAAATGCTCTTGTATTTCTAATTGATGAGATAATCGTGTTAATTCAGAAAAACAAATTTTTTTCTAATGAAAACTTTTCTCATAATTCTGAGATCATCTCGTTAATTCAGAGAAAAACTAGCCTTTTTTCCCCCAGTGAATGCATTATGGTTCCATAGATTTTTAAAAATCTGAAGCGAATGCACGAGATTTCACTTATTCGTGAATATTATTTTACACATTCCACACATTTCAAGCATGTCAATATGATATGTCGCTTGTGATATGGTGACATAAGAAATAATCAACCACTGTCCACTTTAAATTGGACAGAGCCCTTGCTTTTCCACAATCACTAGTGTATGACTGCAACTGTTATTTTTAATGTTGATTCATTTGCAGATTTTATTCATGATTGATTGATTTTTGGGCTTGAAGAATGTCAGAAAATAATGAAAACTGTCCAAGGTCCAAATTCTAATCAGTTCATTCTAAAGTCCTAGTGGAAGTTTTTGCCAAATTTGAGGAAAATTCCCTCAAGGCCTTCTTAAGATATTGCATTCACGAGAATGAGACAGATTCAAGGTCACAGCGACCTTTGACTTACGACCATTAAATTCTAATCAGTTCATTCTTGAGTCCAAGTGGAACTTTGTGCCAAATTTGAGAAAATTCCCTTTAGGGCATCTTAAGATATCACTTTCACAAAAGTGAGATGGATACAAGGTCACAGTGACCTGTGACCTATGGCCAACAAATTCTAATCAGTTGAGTACAAGTGGAAGTGTGTGCCAAGTTTGAGAAAATCCCTTAAAGGCATTCTTAAGATATTGCATTCACAAGAATGAGATGGTTTCAAGGTCACAGTGACCTTTGACTAACGACCACCAAAATCTAATCAGTTCATCATTGACTTGAATCGCATTTCCTCAATATGTTCTTGAGATGCCGCATTCACAAGAATGAGACAGATGCAAGGTCACAGTGACCTGTGATCTTTGACCGCCAAAATCTAATCAGTTTGTGCCAAAATTGAGGAAACTCCCTCGAGACATTCTTGAGGTATTGCATTCACGAGAATGAGACAAATGCATATGACCACCAAAATACGAATGAGTTCACTGTTAAGTCAAAGTGGACGTTTGTGCCAAATTTGAAGAAATTCTCTTCAGGCATTCTTGAGATATTTCATTCACAAAAATGGGACAAACTGACAACCCAGAAACATACTCCCTCGACAAATTATTTTACTTCTAGAACTGGACTGAGACGAAGTGCTGTGAGGAATACTAAACAATCCAAACATCTGAGTCACAGTGGGGCAACAAGAGGACGGAGGGAGGTAAATGGAAACTTAACACATAACACAGCAAATTGATTTTGCCTATAGACTCGCCTCGACTGAATATATTAGAGCTAAATTAGAACGCCAGAAACTAGAGACTCGAGCAAGAGAAATGTGTCTGCAGTTTACTATTGTCAGGTCAGCTGTCTTTGTTGCAATTATAGGATCTATTTAGTGCACACACACACACACATCAATCAGAAAACGGACCGGGGGAATAGCCATACAAACACCTTTTGTGCATATTACCAAAGTGTAAG